ATTTCTTAAAAAATAATTCTAATTTTAAACAAAAACATCATTTTGCTTGTTTTTTTCTAATAAACGTCAGAAATTGTGGTCTGTCGACAACCGCTTAATTTTAATTCGTCGCTCGCTCTTTTTTTGTGGTTTTCGACAGCGGTTCCAATTGTAATTAAACTGTTTCTTTTTTCAGTTTTAATTAAAATGAAATGTCAAAAAACAAAAAAAAAATCGTTTATAAAATATAAATTAGTCGCAAAAAATAAATATTGTGTTTAAGAGATAAGTGCTATTAGCACTTTTTTGTGAGTGCGTTTACTTCTCACAAGTGTGTTTTATTCTCTCAGAACTCGTCTGTGTGAAGACAATCAAAATTGTTTGACAATCGCTTCAATTTCGCCTATGTGTACATTCCCTGCAAACAATTGCTATCTAAATAGTATCCATAACGTAACCACGTGTAGGTAAAAATATCTAAAAAAACATCTTATATTGCACAATTTGAAAGGAAGAAAAGTGACCGCGCACAGTGGTATAGGAAAAAAAAAAGAGGGAAATAATTCGGTAACTTCTAAACTGTATATAATTTTCAAAAATTATATACAGTTTTGAAAAATAGACAAAATTACCTTTCCATTGATATATAACATGCCTACCTAATGTTTTTTAAGTGACAAATTAATTAGGGAAAACTCAACATCTTTTAGAAAATTTACCTAGCACTATTATTTTCATCCATATATGTAACAAATTTAAGAGTTAACCTTATGGATGAAAATAATAGTGCTAGGCAAATTTTCTAAAAGATGTTGATTTTTCCCTAATTAATTTGTCACTTAAAAAACATTAGGTAGGCATGTTATATATCAATGGAAAGGTAATTTTGTCTATTTTTCAAAACTGTATATAATTTTTGAAAATTAAAAAATTCGCGGAATACTTTTTTTAAAAAAAATTAAAAAATGTTTTTTATTCAGTTTTTGCGAAGATACAAATTTTTCTAATTGCAATAAAAATTTTATTTATGAATATTTTTTGATGAAATTTTACAGTTAGGTAGATTTTTTTACTTAAAATCCAAAATTAAATCAAAATTTCGAATTTTCTTATTAGAAATCCCGGAATTCCCAAAAAAGTTTTAAAAAATCCCAAAAATGGGATTTTTTAGTTTTTTGCCTATTATATCCATACCAGGGGCGGGGTTATCGAAACCCGTTACAAAATGATTAAGAACATATTGGGTCATATAAAACAGGTCACTATAATTTGATATCGACTATGCGATTTGAGAATTTTTGCTCAAAATTTAATTTTCCATAAAAAATAGGGTTTTTTTGGATGGACCTGGTCCCCTCGGTATCAAAAATTTTTAGGTTTTGTTTCATTTATCGTATTTTATGTAAAGTCAGCTTTCCAAAAAGTATAAATTCTATATACATCTTCTTAGAAACTTTTTAGATAACTTAAAAAGAAAAAGATACTTTTTTCCCAAAAAAATGACAAAAAATCGCCTTTTTTTAATTTTTTAAATTTAAATGCCTATAACTTTGGACTCAGTCATGATTTTTACATAATTCTTTCACTGCTTGGTATATAAACTTGTTGTTAAGCAAATAAAAAAAAATGGCGAAAATCGGAAATATTTGGACCTGCTATTATCAAAAAAACTAAAGTAAGGACGGTAAAAATTTTAAAATTTTAATATTCAAATGCGAATATCTCCTAAACTATAAGAGATAATTTACTGCTACGACGACATTTTTTATAGTGCTCGATGAGGAGATTCTATATACGAAATTTTTTTTAAATCGGAACTCAAATGAAGAAATAGGATCGTTTTAAAAATTTAACATAGCCGAGGTGTCCTAATTTGAGGACCCCCCGCCGGGCCCCTGGTTGGCCTATAAGGTCCAAATTCAAAACCTAAACTCGACAACACCTCCTCTTTGTGCATACCAAATTTCATTAAAATCGGATTAACCGTTTAGAAGTTACCGAATTATTTCCCTCTTTTTTTTTTCCTATACCACTGTGCCGCGTTGGTAAGAAACTGTTCCTCCTGTTTAATACTTACTTAGTGAGTCGATTTCGTTTCAGTTTTAAGTCACTTTTTTATAGCATAAAAGTGCGTAAAATTAGTAAAATTTCCAATTTTGCCATAGCAATAGGGAAACTGGAAATTTATCTAATTTTACACTATTTTATGTAGTAAAAGCGACTTTATAATACATTTTCTTTATTTCTCTTACTTTATGAATAATTTAAAATTGATTATACTCACTAATCTCTCACTTATGTTTATCATACCCTCCACCACCATCAGTGGTGATAGAGGGTATATATAACTTTGTCATTCCGTGTGTAACACCAAGAAATATTCATCTGAGACCCAACAAAGTATATATATTCTTGGATCTTATGAAATTCTGAGTCGATTTAGCTATGCCCGTCTGTCCGTCCGTCCGTCTGTCTGTCTGTATAAAACATTCTCACGTTAACACGAAGCAACAAAAATTAACGAAATTCACCCAAAATATTTATTATTGTCCTAGGCAGTTGGGTATTGAAAATGAGCAAAATCGGTTTACACCGGGAAAAGTTATGAATCAAAATTTGAAACAACCTCGAAAAAAATTTTTTTACACATTCTGATGTAATTTTCTCAAAAACTATGAAAGATAATTCCATGAAAATCAGCATACATTCGTTTCTACAAGAGCTTGACTCCTGCTGAAAATTGCCAGAATCGGTCCACAATTTCATATACCTCCCATACAAAAGTACATATTCCCGGAAAATGGGTTTTTTGTTAATAACTTCCGTCACAATCTCGAAATCTTTACAAGATTTTACAAATTAAAATCTTATGTCAATAGAATTCATTCAGAGAAAAAATTTTCTGGATCGGTCCATAATTGAACATAGCTCCCATACAAGGTCACCTCCCGAAAATAACTTAAACGCAAATAATTCATTTCTAAATCAAGTTATCTATGTAAAATTTGGTACAAGTACATACAGAAGTATTACTGTGAAATTTTTTTCCGATCGGTTCATAATTGGTCATAGCTCCCATACAAGGTCCCTTCCCGAAAGTCACTTAAACGGGCATAACTCATTACTAAATTAAGATATCCATATAAAGTTTGGTACAAGTATTGCTCACATATACAGAAATATTACTATGAAAGTTTTTTTCCGATCGGTCCATAATTGGTCATAGCTCCCATACAAGGACCCTTCCCGGAAATCACTTAAACGCGCATAACTCATTACTAAATTAAGATATCCATATAAAGTTTGGTACAAGTATTGCTCACATATACAGAAGTATTACTATGAACGTTTTTTTCCGATCGGTCCATAAATGTTCATAGCTCCCATACAAGGACCCTTCCCGAAAATCACTTAAACGCGCATAACTCATTACTAAATTAAGATATCGATATAACATTTGGTACAAGTATTGCTTATAAGCACAGAAATATTACTGTGAAAATTTTTTCCGATCGGTCCATAATTGGTCATAGCTCCCATACAAGGTCCCCTCCCGAAAATCACTTAAACGCACATAACTCATTACAAAATATTGATACCCATACATTTAGCACAAATATTGCTCTTATATACATAAATTACACTATAAAAATGTTTTACTATCGGTCCATATTTGGTCATAGCTCTCATACTAGGTCCCCTCCAGAAAATCCCTTAAATGCACAATATTTATTGCCAAATAATGATATAGATACAGAATTTTGAAATTTTGTCTTAATATACATAATTGGTCATAGCTCCCATACAAGGTCCTTTTACGAAAATCTCTTAAACGCACATTACTCATTACCAATTAAAGCCATTGATACAAAATTTGGCACAAATATTAGTTTGGTACACAAAAAATCTATTTCAAGATTTTTTCACGATCGGTCCATACCATGGGTGCGGTCGGTCCCATGCAAGTGTCCCTTCAGAAAATCACTTGAACACACATTAGTTATTACTAAATTACGATATAGATACAAAATTTGACTGAAATATAGCTTTTATGTACAGAAATGTAGCTTAAAGAATTTTTTACGATCGGTCTATAATTGGTCATATCTCCCATACTAGGTCCTGCCCCTAAAAGCAATGTAACCGTTTTTAACTAGTTGTATTATCAATTTGTGTAGAACAAAATTATATATGTATTTTGAAAATCCTTAAATCTTTCACACATATGCACACATGGACATTAAATATCGTTAAAGCATATCTTAGGGCGCTATAAAAATATAAAAGAAAATGGGGTTTGTAATGTTCAATAAATCTTGGAATTGTAACAGATTTAAGCTGTTTAAATCTTGGGGTTTTTCTATTTAAGACATGAGAATACTTATTTCTACAAATATTTGATCAATTAAAAAAGTATTAATATAAAAGTAGCTGGTGGAGGGTATTTAAGATTCGGCTCAGCCGAATATAGCACTCTAACTTTTTATATATGAAATTTATTTTTTATGTATTAAATTTTAAATAAAATCATTACAAAATTTCACAATGTGTTACTATTCACAAAACTGATCACTATAAACTTAATATATTTACTGAAATATACAAACACTTTTTTAAATTTTGAGAGCAAAAATAATTCTGCCTTAAATTATCTTATTAGTGTATTAAAAAGTGTTCTTTTTATACATTTTTATTCTATCTATTTATTATCATTTACGTTTCTTTTTGGTATATTAGATCGAACTTAAATTTTACAAAAATGGGATAAAAATTAGAAAATAATGTATTTTGTTTTTGTAAATATTTTTATTTAGCACTGAGAAACATGAAGTTGAGCCTAAATAGTGTAAATTTAGTTCATTTATCCAAAATTAAACTCAAATTTGCTGGCAGGGTTACTATCTGCCTTTTGGTATATAACTCAAATATACACAAACGTATCATTAGTGAAAGCTGAAATAGAAAAACAGGTTTTTTAAAAAGTATTTGACAAAACTTGGAATCTACCCAAATACTCTGTATTAATTTAAATGCTGTTTATTTTCTTTTATACATTTTTCAATATTTTAAACCAGAATAAAAACACCACTTTTGAATAATTACTATATATTACAATTTAGGAATACCAAATATAGAAAGATTAAAACACATTCCCAATGTTAGAATAACTATTGATATAATAAGCACTGCAAAACAAATGTAGTTAGATTGTATAGGCATGCGAAACAGTTTGGCTGACATATCCAAGGTCGATGAAAATATCAACATCGAATTAAGGTCCTCCGTAGATGTATTATGGTACACAAATGGTCTTACTCGTATCTGATGACCATTATTTCTGACTGATTGACATGCCTGAGTTAACGATGCGGCAATGAAAAACGGCAATAAACCTAATATTAACCACAATAAAACATTTGTAAAATTTAAAATTACGGTTTTCATGGCACAATAATGGAAGTCAAAGTCTTTGAACATATAAACAAACCCAGCGAAGGCATACGCCATATTCATGATTACAAAGAAGGACACCGGCAAAGACACATTATTGTTAAGACGTTCGAGTAATTTCCGAAACTGCAGGATTTCCTAAAAATACAGAAAATATTTGTTATTTTTTTTTTTTTTTTTTCATTTTAAAGCGATTTTTAATAAATGGATATATGCGAATCTGAATTCTTGGAACGATTAAACAAAATTTGCCATAAAGTTTTAAAATACTACTATTATAATATATTTTTATACATAAGTGGTGATAGAGGGTATATATAAGTTTGTCATTCCGTGTATAACACCAAGAAATATTCATCTGAGACCCAACAAAGTATATATATTCCAGGTTCTTATCAAATTCTGAGTTGATTTAGCCATGTCCGTCTGTCTGTCTGTTTGCCTAAAACACGCTCACGTTAAAACTAAACAAAAGAAATAAACCAAATTCACCAAAAATATTCATTATTGTCCTAAGAAGTTTGGTATTGAAAATCAAATTTCAGACTACCTCGAAAAAAATTACGTTTTTTCCGTAATTCTTTAGCAGTTTTCTTACCAAATACAAAAGATAATTCGACGAATTTTGTCACTAGTCATTTGTTTACCCAGGGATCAATTATGTTCAAAATCATAACAATCGATCCAAAATTTCCTATAGCCCCCATTCAAAGGTACATATTTCCGGAAATGGATTTATCGTTAATAACTTCCTCAAATATATCGGTATCAACCCAAAATTTTTCACATAGATTTTTCACGTAGATTGTTATTGGTCCACAATTGGTCATGGCTCCCATGTAAGGCCCACTTCCGAAAATAACTTAAACGCGTATATATCATTGATAAATAAATCTATCGATATAAAATTCGACATGAATATGTTTTGTGTATGTATCAATCACTCTACGAAATTTTTACTAATCGGTCCATAATTGGTCATAGCTCCCATATAAGGTCCACTTCCGAAAATCACTTAATCGCTCATATTTCATTAACTAATAATAAAGCTATCGGGGTAAAATTCGACGAGTATGTTTTGTGTATATATAAATCTTTCACCGAATTTTTTTCGAATGAGTCCACAATTGGTCATAGCTACCACATAAGACCCTCTTCAGAAAATCACTTAAATGCGCATATTTCATATAAGTTTTGTGTATGTATCAATCACTGTACTCTATTTTTTTCGGGATAGACCCGTAATTGGTCATAGCTCCATACGATAAATTGCAACTGGCAGTTGCTCATTTTGCTACTGGCAGTAGTAGAACCAACACAATTTATTGCACAATTTTTCCATGGCAATAGTAGTTCGACAGTTGTGTGCGTGCGCTGCTAAAACTGAAAAATATATTTTGATAGTTTTGAAATATTTTGCGTCTGCTAAAAGAAATTGCAAACAGAACAAATATTTCTAGTAGTAAAGTGATTTGTGATTTTGAAAGTTTTATATATATTGCATAGTCGTACAAAAAAAATCTTGTGCTATTGCTGCATATTTCAACGCTGGTTATTACTAGGATTTCATATACTAGTGAATGAAAATATTAGTTAATGAATTTTTTTTTCAGAAGATATTTCATCTTAAACCATATTATAAACACGTCTTTTTGTTATTTTTTTCAGCACTAATCGAAAAAGAAGAAAAGTATGTGAAATACTTTTTGCATTTTCAATACGAAAATTTACAAATTTTCTTTTTTCAGTTTTAATTTAAATGAAATGTCAAAGAATAAAAAATATTTTTTTTTTCGTTTGTAAAATATAAATTATTTTCGGGATTTTAAATACAATAAAAGTGTGGCAAAAAATAATAAATATTAAGTTTAAGTGATAAGAAAAACGATTAAGTGCTAATATCTTCGCAATTTCGCGAAGAAAATTTGAAGTTTTGTGAGTGCGTTTAGTTCTCTCAAGGGTATTTTATTCTCTCAGAACTCGACTGTGTGAAGAGAATAACAAATTTTGTTTGACAACCCCTACAGTTTCGCCTATATCCCTACTATATGTGGTACGTTTTAAACGATTTTGGCATTTTTTTGACAAAAATTTCGTAGGTTTAAAACTTCCCAGGAAAAACTTACATTGAAAAGTAATGAGTTAAATAGCTAATAAAACCTCTTTTCACTACTTCTTCATTAGCATTTTAAGTCATTATTTTAACACGGTGATGTCATTGGAGGCAAGTACTTCTACGCACGCTTACAAATAGGGACTTAAAGAAGTACTTGCAATTTCCCTTACAAAACAGTTGTTGAGTAAGTTGTTTTGTTTTTTAATAATAAAAAGAGCCAGCTAGAATACGAACCAGGGGCTTCGGTTTGTTAGTCAAATGTTCTACACACTGCACCACTGCTTAGCTATTTTATTGCGCGTCAAATAATGGTTTTCACAAACAAAACTAATTTTTTTTTTTATTTTTTTAAAACACAATTCTTAAAACGCAATTAAATAAAATGTGCAAACAAAATGACAAAGCCGAAAATAAAGTACTTCTATATCAGATTATAAGAAAGTCATTACTAGAGTACTTCTATGTAATGCAGACGGTAAGTAATAGTCATTGAAAAGTAAGTGGTTATGGAAGTACAACCCATTACCGAGTTTTTGCTGGGTTGGTCAGTGGCAACGCTGAACCTGACTAATAGTTTTTCTCTCATCGAGACTGTAAAAAATCACACTTTTCCTTTAAAGTTAGTGTTTTATGTTTGCGTTTATTATTCAAAGACATAATACTTGGTATTTTAATTTATTGTAATCTATATAAATATATAAAAATGAATGTGTGTTTATTTGTTTGTGGGTTTGCTTGAAGTCTATAGACGGCTGGACCGATTTTCTTCAAATTTTAACAGTACCTTCCTGTATATCTGGAATGAACTATAGGCTGGTGAACTGGTACAAATAGATTAGTTAGGATAAAAAGTGAGCGGACTAGCAGCAGGGGGCATGGTACCTCCCATATGAATTAAATACAACAAAATATTTTATCTAAGAAACTAATAGAACTAAATTCCTAACATTTTGCAAAAAGGACTTTCATATTCATCTGAACATTTTGGGGGAAAAAAGCGGACTTTCATCATCAACTATAGGCTACTTTTATTTTAAAATTTCAAGTAGGCGAGGTGCCACGCCTACTCATTAAATAACTATTAAAAGTCATATATGTATCTTGGAAACTGGTACAATTAGAGTCCTCAAATTTTGCACGGACAACTTTGACATCCATAAGAATATTTTTGGATAAAATGGGCAGAATGACTATAGTGAGCGTGGCACCTTCCATATTAAGAAAATATTAAATCAGTATATCTTGGAAAATGTAACAGTTAGAGCCCTCAAATTTGGTCGGAGCCACATAAGTCTCAATATGATTAGCTGGGATAAAAAGTGGGCGGTCTAGCAGCAGGGGGCGTGGCACCTCCCATATTAATTAAATACACAAATTCGTTTATCTTGGAAATTATTAGAGTTAAAAGCTTGAAATTTTGCACGAAGAACTTTCGCATCCATGTAAATATTTGGGTAATAAATTGGCGGACTACCAATGGGGGGGAGCGGCACCTTCCATATGAATTAAATACAACAAAATATTTTATCTAAGAAACTAAAAGAACTAGATTTTACAAAAAGGACTTTCATATTCATCTGAACATTTTGGGGGAAGAAAGCGGACTTTCATCAGGGAGTGGCTTGGAACCCCCACAAGAATTATATAGAAAAATTTGTATATCTGAGATGCTATAGAAGCTAGAATCTTCAAATTTTACATGAAGAACTTTGATATTCATGCGAACATTTAGAGAAAAATGGGCGGACTTTCAATGGGGGATTGGCCCTTCCCATATAAATTAAATACAATACAATATTATTTACATTTTTAGCTTGCATTAAAATCCTTATTAGCGTTCGGAAAAATTGGCGAACTTGCAATAATTTGAGTGGCATCTCCTATGTGTAAGTGTAAGTTTTTTTGCTTTCAGGGTAGCAAATCACACTGAGTATAGCTAGTTTTAATTATAATAATGATAGTGCAAAATATAAATACAAGTATGAACAACAAAACATTCTAGTTAAAAGCGGGAAACCCCGGAATTTAATTATTTCTTGAATAAGACCGGATGTATGTATGTATGCATGCATGTATGTATGTATGTATGTATGTATGTATGTATGTATGTATGTATGTATGTATGTATGTATGTATGTATGTATGTATGTATGTATGTATGTATGTATGTATGTATGTATGTATGTATGTATGTATGTATGTATGTATGTATGTATGTATGTATGTATGTATGTATGTATGTATGTATGTGTATGTATGTAGTATGTATGTATGTATGTATGTATGTATGTATGTATGTATGTATGTATGTATGTATGTATGTATGTATGTATGTATGTATGTATGTATGTCTGTATGTATGTATGTATGTATGTATGTATGTACATATATTACTTTTTACTTTCTAGCTTACCCGCATCCAGTCAGCTGATTCTATAGAGTGCAATAATAACTTCTGAGACAATGTTAACAAATGAACCTTTAATAAATAACATTCGATACAATAACTGCTTAAAATAATTATCTCAATTAAATTTTGCACCGACAACGTTATCAAGAGGGCTACCTAAAAATAAAAATAAGATTTATAAACATTGAACGTGTAAATAAGTACTTAAAAATAGAAAAAAAGTAAATATTCATTAATTTAAGCTACGTTTACAATACTGTATTTTGTGGAATTGTATATACATTCTGAAAAAGTCTTGAAAGAGTGATGATTTTAACACAGGTTTGTCATAGGAGGGATGTCCATTTTATTTGATATTTTATTTGATTTGAGAGTTAGAATAACCGAACCAAAAAGTAGCGGTTATATCATACCCACAGCTACTTCTTATGTTAATGCTAATTTTGGTATTCTTGAGTTCAATTAAAAGCAATAACAAAAAACTGATAAACTGAATCAAGCCTTATACATAAGATCAAAATGCTTTAAATAAGTAGGCGTTCTTATGATAGGGATGCGATAGGTTGATATTGACCTTCAAAGTTTTTGGGTTAACATTATTCGATTTTACTAAATCTGAAAAGGTTTTATATAAAATACTTAACAGTAGAGGATTAAGGCAAATTTTTTTCTTCGAAATCCTCAAAATTCAAATCGCGGACCTAATCTATGAGCGATATTGATCTAATTATTCTAATGATCGATTATTCGACGTTTTCCAAAAACCGGTTTGCGAATAGTTGGCATTTGAAAAAACCGGTTGATATTTTTCAAGTTCAGAAAAAAACTGGTTAACGGGGGATTTAATGATTTTTCTGGAAGCAAAACTTAACATTTCTGTTTAAATTTGTTTCATAAAACATGGCCCGAGCAGTTTTTAACATTTCAAAATAATATAACTTTAGATCTAGTCTAATTTACATTACATCTTTAATGTATTAAAAATTAAGAAAAATGTGGGACACTTCTGTTAAACTTATTGGGTAATCATAGCTTATTCTAAAATCCCTTAGTTTTTTTAACAAGAGTTTAAGTAATTCTCATAGACATTCCAACATTTCCATAAAAATTTCAGTCCGAAATTTAAGATATACTTCTATTATTATTTGGAATATAAACTTAAGAATAATAACATATGGGAAATTGTAAGTATGTGACGTTCGTACGTCTTCAGAGTGTTATAGATTTTGTAAAAATAGGAGTACAGTAGTTTTCGCTTATAGTCCACTACTACAGTTGCATATTTTTTGTGGACTATAAGCGAATTAGGACTAAACCGAATTTCTTTTTAAGCCACTTTATGGACTATAACTAAATCCTGGTATAATACACATTTTGGATCATATACAAAGTACGTACTTTCTTCAATAAAACCATTTTTTTTAAACAAAATAAAAGTTTATTTAAAATATAATCAAATATTGATTTAAATAAAATCAATAGTTTAAACAAAACCTTTACATATTAATATTATTTATTATAATTTAAATGCTTTAAAAGCTTATTGTAATAAAGTACAAACTTAAAGTATGAGATCCATTTTAAGGCCCGTATTCAGAAAGAAGAATGTAAAACAATTTTTAAAATTTTATATGAAAACAAGTAAGAAAGTATAGTCGGGCTTGGCCGACTATGTGATACCCTACACCAGTTATGAATATTAACTGTGATTTATTTTTCATAATAAAGCATTTATCTTGAATATTACCTTGATTCCGATTTATTATTTATATGGGGGATAGGAGCAAATGTGGACCGATCCCGATAAAATGGGTTGGATAGATTTGTATTTATATAATATATATAATATTTGTCTGTGCTAAATTTCATTGCAATAACAGTGCTAATAAATGAATTGCGGATATTTAAGTCACTTTCTGAAGGGGGCTTTGTGTGGGGGCTAGGGTCAAATGAAGTCCGATCATTTCGAAATTCGGCAAGGTCATCAAGGCTTGTATGAAACTTAGTTGTGTGAACTTTCATCGAGATACATTTATACATAATTATGAGCTCAAAACCTCTTTTTGGGGTGTTCAGTTATATGGGGGCTAGGTGAAATAATGGACCGATTTTAACCATTTTCAATAGGCTTCGTCAAAACAAACGGAGTCAAAACAAACGTGTATTCCAAATTTCATCAAATTATCTTGTAAATTGCGGCCTGTACTTTGATTACGTTTACAACGTTTACACACGGTCGGACGGACGGACATCGTTACAAACATTAGCACAAACGCATAATATAATTAGTATAAACACTAACAAAAACTGAGTAGTTTTCATACAAAATTTTAAAAATTATTTACTTCTTTCTGAATTCGGGCATAAGTCTTTGGATGACTAAATCTAACACAAGATAGATATCAATATCTATATGAAATATAAATTGCGAATTGTTGAACATTTTTAAAAGAATTCTTAAATCTTAGATTGTTTCTTTTTTAAAGAATTATTTATTATAAGTTTGCCAGTTTTTTTAAAAAAAGTGGACCTAAAAAGTGGACTTAAAAACAAATAATTTGTATGAAATTCGTTATAAAATATATATTTTGCAAATAAGTATATGGATACACATAATTCAACAAATAAAAAGGAGTAGGAACGTGTAGTCGGACATGGCCGACCTATATAAATATTTAAGCAGATAGATTAATATTAGTAGATTAAAATTAACAAACAGAAGTTTTATGGCGACTAGGGTCAAATATGAACCGATCCTCATAAAATTTGGGGGTGGGATTTTTATTCATTTATTCATTTTTATTCAACTTATTTGTGCCAAATTTTATCATAATACTAGTGATTAGAAGAGAGTTACAGATGTTTAAGTGTTTTTCTGAAATTAAACTTTGAATGGAACTAAGGTCAAATGAAGTTCAATCGTTATGAAAATCGGCATAAGGGTTCAGGCTTATATACATTTTTGAAGGGATAGTATTATAATAAACAGAATTATGAGCTAAAAAGTGATATTTGCGAGTTCGTTTGTATGGCGGTGAAGTGTAAAAATAGACCGATTTCAAAAATTATCAACAGTCATCGTCTTTGGTGCTACAAAAGAGCATATACCAAATTTTGTTGAATTATCTTCAAAAATGCAAAAGTTATAAGGGTTTTATATGTAAATGTGTCAAATAAATAAAAAAAAAAAAACTAACAAATAACTTAAACATTTTTCATGTCGGACTGTGTTATTATTAACTTCAAAAATTTAATATAAGTACCCGTTGAATACAAAACAAATAAATGTATTCGAAACCGGTTTTCTCAAAATAAAAAACGGCTTATTTGATATTCGAAAAATCAACATTTAGAAAAAACCGACAGTAGTAAAACAGAAAAAATCGGTTTTTAGGCCGGTTGAAAAACCGAGTCGATCACCCTAATATATACATGTAAAGGTGTCGCTCCGCTTTTAATTTCTATAGTATAATTTTCCTATAAAGTATATAATCCGACTACTTATAGATAGCGTGGTGAATAAGCTATGTCCGTCTGTATGAAATCAATTTTCTGAAGACCCCAGACATCTTCAACAATTCTGTCAGAGATGCTTTCGAGAAGTTTCCTACATCCATGCTTAACTTTAATATTTAATCTAATTTTACGAACAAAATTAATTAGTAACATACAAAAATTATTTTGATTTTACGAAATAAAATTATTTTGTTACGAATTTTTTTGTTATTATCGTAATTTTAAGCGAGTTAAATTAAACGTAATTTTAAATTGACAGGAAATTAGCTGCCTTATTTCTTAAGTTTTTGAAGGTGAACATTTGATGATAAAAATTTTGATTTATTTTAAACTAAAAGTATGAATTACAACAGTTAATTAGATTTATTACACGTTTTACAACATGTTTATTTTTTATTTAATACTATAATAAAATTGTCGTAAGTTATAGTCGATTAATCGACAAAAATTTTTCGAATTATTCTTGAAAAAAATTTGTTCGTTCAAAGAAAAAATATTTTTTCCTCGATTATTCGAATGACACCCTTATGTGTATATATTTACTTATTTAATTATGTACATATATACCTTTACAAATAATTGCCATATAGTCTCCAAATCACCAAACCATTTGTACGGAATAATAGGTGATTGTAAAATAACAACGGGTATAAAATACGCATATAAGCAGCAACACAGAACAAATGCACCAACTATATGCAACCAGAAGGTTCTAAATAGTTTTTTCGGTTGCATTGACATTAGAAATGTACGTTCAATAAGATTTTGCAATTGTTCGTGATCGATGAATTTGCATATTATAACTGCTGAAACGTATCCAGCAAGATCCAATGAACAGGGTATAATAAAACCAAAAAGAAGCTCACCAATTGTATAGGCCGAATCGTCCTTTGATTCATCAATAGATTCCACATTTTTAGTATTTGTTGAAAATCCACGATCGCCTCTGAAAGGGATTTAATAGATATTTATGTTTATGGTTGACACGTTTACATTTAATTAACATTTGACAAATTACTTACCGATATGCTGACAAATACTGCAAAAAATAACCAAAAAGTAAAATAATTATTAGAATTGTGCATTGCAAATAGCTTAGGTAAGCTTTACATCTGGTTGTATCTGTTGATATTGGATTTAATCCCACCAATGATAGGATGGCAACATATGGGCGCAAGACCTAAAAATATAATTTTATAATAAAAAACTATTTAAAATGAAAAGTTCATCATGCAATATTCAAATTGTATTAAAAATAGACCATGTTGTATATTTATATACTATAGTTATGTATATGTATTTTTATACCCTCCACCACCAGTGGTGATAGAGGGTATATATAACTTTGTCATTCCGTGTGTAACACCAAGAAATATTCATCTGAGACCCAACAAAGTATATCGAGGGACTATATTCAATAGTCGCTATCTCTCATTTTTATGAAAATGAGATTTTGATGGCAAAATATTCAGCAAACTATCGCGCATCAGTGATATAAATGTCAAAGAAAAAAATATTTTTTGGCAATTTTATAGCATTTTTTAAATTTCTCCATCTTAAAAAAAGAAAAATTCTGAATGCAAAACTCTCTATCTTATCCAAAAATTGCTTCAAACTCGATCCCTTTGGATAATTTTCTGTTGCAAAACAAGTCTTCTTAATAATTTGGACATGCTGAACACAAATCCGTAAAAATATTTAAAATCGGTCTAATAGTTTTTGAGATATCGCTCATTATGATACTAATTAAATCAATTTTATTGTCGTGTTTAACCATATAACATTGGTTTTGGACCAAAACATTATAATCTGTTGCTTTTTCAACAATTTGGTTTCATTTCCTCCATTAAATTGTATAAAATATAATATTTATTGATCTGTTGGTTGAATGAACATTTTCGTAGAAAAATAAGCTCTATCTGATATAAATTTGTGAATAATTTTGTAAATAATGCAAAAATTAAAATTCTTTTTATATAATGGTTTAGAATATGGTCGTAAAAATATATTGTAAAAGAAAAAAATTAAAAAATCTTCACGAACTAGCGAAATAAACAGTTTTTTTGCTCTCCTGAAAACTTGTATTATTTTAGATAGAGACTATTGAATATAGTCCCTCGATATATATTCTGGGTCCTTATCAAATTCTGAGTCGATTTAGCTATGTCCGTCTGTCTGTATAAAACACGCTCACGATAAAACGAAGCAGTAGAGCTTAACCAAATTCACCCAAAATGTTCTTCATTTTCCTAAGTTGTTTGGTATTGCAAATGGGCAAAATCGGTTCACACCGGGAAAAGTTATGAATCAAAATTTAAAACAACCTCGGAAAAATATAAGCATTTTTTACACATTCTGATGTAGTTTTCTCGAAAACTATGCAAGATAATTCCATGGAAATCACCATACATTCGTTTCTGCACAAGATCTTGATCCCTGCTGAAAATTGCCAGAATCGGTCCACAATTTCATATACCTCCCATACAAAAGTACATATTCCCGGAAAATGGGTTTTTTGTTAATAACTTCCGCCAGAATGTCGATATCTTCACAAAATTTTACAAATTAAAATCTTATGTCAATAGAAGTCTTTCAGAGGAAAATTTTATGGATCGGTCCATAATTGGACATAGCTCCCATACAAGGTCCCCTCCTGAAAATCACTTAAACGCGCATAACGCATTACTAAATTAAGATATCCAAATAAAATTTGGTATAAGTATTGCCCATATGCATAGAAATATTACTGTGAAATTTTTTTCCGATCGGTCCATAATTGGTTATAGCTCCCATACAAGGTCCCCTCCCGAAAATCACTTAAACGCGCTTAACTCATAACTAAATTAAGATATCCATATAAAATCTGGTACAAATATTACTCATATGCACAGAAATATTGTTGTGAAATTTTTTTCCGATCGGTCCATAATTGATCATAGCTCCCATACAAGGTCCCCTCCCGAAAATCACTTAAACGCGCATAACTCATTACTAAATTAAGATATCCAAATAAAATTTGGTGTAAGTATTGCCCATATGCATAGAAATATTACTGTGAAAGTTTTTTCCGATCGGTCCATAATTGGTCATAGCTCCCATACAAGGTCCCCTCCCGAAAATCACTTAAACGCGCATAACTCAGTACTAAATTAAGATATCCATATAAAATTTGGTATAAGTATTGCCCATATGCATAGAAATATTACTGTGAATTGGTCATAGCTCCCATACAAGGTCCCCTCCTGAAAATCACTTAAACGCGCATAACGCATTACTAAATTAAGATATCCAAATAAAATTTGGTATAAGTATTGCCCATATGCATAGAAATATTACTGTGAAATTTTTTTCCGATCGGTCCATAATTGGTTATAGCTCCCATACAAGGTCCCCTCCCGAAAATCACTTAAACGCGCTTAACTCATAACTAAATTAAGATATCCATATAAAATCTGGTACAAATATTACTCATATGCACAGAAATATTGTTGTGAAATTTTTTTCCGATCGGTCCATAATTGATCATAGCTCCCATACAAGGTCCCCTCCCGAAAATCACTTAAACGCGCATAACTCATTACTAAATTAAGATATCCAAATAAAATTTGGTGTAAGTATTGCCCATATGCATAGAAATATTACTGTGAAAGTTTTTTCCGATCGGTCCATAATTGGTCATAGCTCCCATACAAGGTCCCCTCCCGAAAATCACTTAAACGCGCATAACTCAGTACTAAATTAAGATATCCATATAAAATTTGGTATAAGTATTGCCCATATGCATAGAAATATTACTGTGAATTGGTCATAGCTCCCATACAAGGTCCCCTCCCGAAAATCACTTAAACGCGCTTAACTCATAACTAAATTAAGATATCCATATAAAATTTGGTACAAATATTACTCATATGCACAGAAATTTTCTTGTGAAATTTTTTTCCGATCGGTCCATAATTGGTCATAGCTCCCATACAAGGTTCCCTCCCGAAAATCACTTAAACGCGCATAACTCATTACTAAATTAAGATATCAATATAAAATTTTGCACAAGTATTACTCATATGCACAGAAATATTACTGTGAAAATTTTTTTCGATCGGTCCATAATTGGTCATAGCTCCCATACAAGGTCCCCTCCCGAAAATCACTTAAACGCGCATAACTCATTACGTAATTAAGATATCCATATGGTACAAATATTACTCATATGCACAGAAATATTACAGATAATTTTTTTCCGATCGGTCCATAACTGGTCATAGCTCCCATACAAGGTCCCCTCCCGAAAATCACTTAAACGCACATAACTCATTACTAAATTAAGATATCCATATAAAGTTTGTCAAAAATATTGCTCATATACAGAGAAATATTACTGTGAAATTGTTTTCCTATCGATCCATAATTGATCATAGCTCCCATACAAGGTCCCTTTCAGAAAAATACTTAAAGGCACATAACTCATTACCAAATAATGATATAAATAAATACTATTTTTGTTCATAAATACTATTTTGTAATGCAAAAAGCACTTAATGCTATTTCAAAAATTTTTCACGATCGGTCTATATTTGGTCATATCTCTCATACTAGGTCCTGCCCCTAAAAGCTCTTTAACCGTATTTAACTATTTGCATTATCAATTTGTGTAGAACAAGATTATATATATGTATGTATTTTTAAAATCCTTAAATCTTTCACACACATGAATACATGCAAATACGAGATATCGCTAAAGCATATCTTAGGGCGCTATAAAAATTTAAATGAAAGTGGCGTTTCTAATGTTCAATAAATCTTGGAATTGTAGTAGATTTAAGCTGTTTAAATCTTGGGATTTTTCTATTTAAGACATGAGAAAACTTATTTCTACAAATATTTTATTAATTAGAAATGTATTAATACAAAATTTGCTGGTGGAGGGTATTTAAAATTCGGCTCAGCCGAATATAGCACTCTAACTTGTTAGATTTAAAGACCGCTAGCAGTCAAAGTTAAAATTTCTTAAAACATTGCTTGTGACAAACAAAAATTTCCACTTTTTTAAATTACTATCTACGATCACGCGATCGGTGGCACATTTTTCAAAAAAATAAGAAGAAAAAAACACCATTTCGTATCTCAATATTGGAATAAAACCAAAATCCCCAAAGGGTTTAAAAAAGTTATAGGCATTTAAAGTTTTGCAATTTTGTGAACAATTTTCCCATATGTATATTTTATATGTATAGAATCCAATAAAATAAGTCAATATATAAATTACTCAATTATATTTGCCTACTTAAGGTCTAAGATATTTACATTTCTTAATGTTTATACTTTGTGGGTTCTAATTTCCTTTCTGTTTTAATAGTTATTAGTCGATACTCCACTAGAAATTTTAAAATTTTATTTGATTTATCAAAAAATAAAATATTTGTACAAAAAACGAATTAGTTTACTATAATTAGATTTTCTATGGATCCCTTCACGGTCTAGCTCTGATTTTTTTATATGCTGTTGTAGATATTATAAACTAATTTTAGTAAAGGAATAATGAAAATGGGGGATACCGTTTTTAAGATATCCTTGACTCAAAGACATTTTTTGATATCATTATCCTCGTTTTAAAACCATAATATTTCAAATAACATATTGGCACACTACGACATATAGGCATTAATTACAGTCTAAAATGATTAAAATCCTATAAATATGTTAGAATTTATACAATATCAATTTTAATCCTTTTTAGAAAAACTCTTAGAAATATGAACTTTAAGCCTCGATAAAATCAAAACCGTAACGAATTTTCAAATTTTGGAGAACTCTAAATTTTGTAAGTATGAAAAGAATGTGTGTGTGTGCCGAATTTCATCAAAATAAGAGAAATTAATGCACTAATTAGATTTGAAGACCCAAAATTTGTTGCATAGTGTTATAGGTCTATCCAATCAGCATTTAGAACAATTCTTATACAAAAATATTTAGTTTAGATCATGCCAAAATGATATGCTCTGATTGCAAATTGACACAGAATCAGGCAATTAAGTTTGTATTTTTTAAACGTCTATTTTACATCCCTTAAAATAATCCAACTCGTTTCCCTTTATTTGAAACAGAAATATATTTTTTCTCAAATTTTCGTAACTCTCTATAATTTGTACCTTTTTAGGATGGTGTTCAATAAGATTGGCGATT